TATATTAAAGTAAACACATAACAAGATTACCAAAAAAAAAAAAGTAAACACGTTACATAATCACATAATACAACAGCTAGCGATAAAAAGATAAAACTTCCAACGATATTAAAAGAAAAAGTATATTCGCGCACTGTCACGACCCACTTTAGAATTTGTAACCGATATACAAACTAAATTTGTAACAAAATCATTTATCAATACTTGTAATTTGGTACGTAATCATTTAAAATTTGTTTTCTAAGTATTTCTATGTATAATAAGTATGGTTAGCTTTTTCTACTGTTAATGTAGATAACTTATCTATATTGAACCCAAAACGACATTCTTTTAAGGCAAAAATTAAGGTATTTTTATAATTATAATTTATTTCAGGATTATAATAATCTTTTTTATTTTAATTTTTTAATTTTTCAACCCAAATCGACATTATTTTAAAAATAAATGTACATAACTTATCCACATTTAACGTAAAAACATTAAAACATGATAAGGAGTACAACCCACATGTGTTTCTTCCACACATGCTTGTCCTTCTGGCGATCGTTGACAGTACTCTTCGCAACCGGCAACAAAACGATGTCGTCACAAAGATCAACCATAACAGCATCTTTAGCATCAATCATTCCATTGGGTTCATGAAGCCTCTTCTTCTTCATCAACCCTTCAGCAGGCTTCATAGGCCGCTTCGCGGATCTCTTCCCATCAACGGAATCGAGATGAAGCACATCATGGAAAACAAAATCAAATTAGGCCTGAAAACAGATATGGGTGAAATGATCGGAACTAGCGAGGGTTTCACGAAAAGAGGACCTGGTGCGGTTGAGGAATGATAGGGTTTGGGATTTGAAGAGTGGGTGATTGGAGATGGCAAAGTAGACGAAATGAGGGTCGATGAGGAAGGTGTAGGTGCAATTTTTTACTATGTGGGTGTAAAGGGAGTAATTTGGAGGGGTTTTGTGAGGCATTTGAAGGCTAATGCTTCAATGTTTGGGTCTTTGGAATTGTTGTTGTGGTGTAGACCAGCGGAGGTGATGGGAAAGAGAAACGAACTCTGGTGCACCTGGGTGACGATTGAGCTTTTCTATAAGTTATTCCACAGTTTAGGGTTTTTCAATAATTGTAAATAATTTTTCTTTTTGTTATTTTTAAATTATGTTTAAGTGTGCGTTATCTCCTTTGATTGTGCATGCTTATAGTGCTTTACTTTTTTGTTATTTTATTTTTCCTATTTAAGGCTTGGAGAACCCTATTATTATTGGGTTATTTTTTGTTAAATAAAATTAAGAAAAGAGAAAAATATTTTCTCGCAATCCTTGTGTTCGTTCTTCTTTCTGTTTAGCCAATTAGTTACTGCTTCGGCATTATATGGTAATCAAAGCTCTGGTTGTCACATAAATGGCTGAACATAACAATGGCAATCGAGGTCGACGTCGTGGGCGACGGGGTCGAGGCGACGGCGGCGGCAGAGGGCGTGGTAACACCCCTTAATGACGACAGTGAACAACTACACATCGACGCGCGAGATGCCACAATTGTAGCAATGGCCGCTACAATGACAGAACAAGGTAGACGAATTCAAGAGCTCAAACCACTATTTGCCTAAACACAGTTGCACGAGTCAGATAAAGGAAGGGAATCTGAAAGATCATTTAATGAGGAGGAAGGAGCGAAAAATCGTTATGGAAATGAAATCAAAAGCGACAAGGACGAAGTTAACCTGAAAATCAATCCTTTTTTTGCTAATATTGGGGTGAAGATTGAGATTACAAAATTCGAGGGTACCACTCATCCAGATGAGTTCATCGATTGGTTACACACCATCGAAAGAGTCTTTGATATCAGAGACTTGACAGAAGAGCAGAAGGTCAAATTGGTCGCTATCAAACAAAGGAAGCATGTCTCAATTTAATGGGAACATATTAAGAAGCAGCGAAACAAAGAAGGAAAGTCAAAGATCAGGAGTTGGGTTAAGATAAAGAAATTGTTGCAACAAAATTTTTCACCTATTCATTATCGATAGAGGGCATTTGTTGAATACCATAATCTTAAGCAGCAAGACCTATCAGTTGAACAGTGTACAATTGAGTTTGATTATCTGTGAATGTACAGTGATATCGCAGAGGAGGACGAGCAATTAGTTGCTCGTTACCTAGGAGGACTGGGAATGAGATATCAGATGTTGTATACCTGCAACAATATTTGTCATATGAGGATATATGTCGACTAACTTTAAAGGTAGAGGAGCAGTGTAAGAGAAGAAGAGGTACTTTAAAATTCTAACCAACACTAGTGCAGGGAAGGAACCTTTTAACCTGAAACTAGTGAGCAAGAGGGGAGCGACCAATGGTGAAGCAGGCAAGATAGGGACTGCGGCGAAAAGGTGTTTCAATTGTCAAGGTCTAGGACACTTCGCTACTGATTGTCCAAACCGACAGTATGTTACTCTTGTCGATATCAAGCCGATGTTATAGGCCCCACCTATGATGAGTATGAAGAAGATCAAGTGGATGGAGGGTTTGAAGAAGGTGAGAGTATCTATGGTGATGTTGGAGAATCCTTGGTTGTTCGGAACGTTCTAAGTGTTGACGTAGCTGATGACGAGTTATGGCTCCGACACAATATATTCCATACAAAGTGCACCAGCAGTGGCAAGGTGTGTAGTATGATCATTGATGGGAGAAGCTACGAGAATGTTTTCTCTACTACCATGGTCAAGAAGTTAGGGCTAAAAACTGAGGAACACCCACAACCCTGCAAGCTTTATTGGCTGAAGGAAGGAAGTGAGGAGAAGGTGAACAAAAAGTGCCTCGTGCAATTTTTTATCAGCAAAAGGTACACTGATGAGATGTGGTGCGATGTGATTCCGATGGATGTGTGTCATGTTTTATTAGGGAGGCCGTGGCAATTTGATAGGAAGACGAAGCACGATGGCTTCAAAAATACTTACACTTTCAAGAAGGACGGACTAACTATTACCTTGGGTCCATTTGAATTGAAGAAAAGGCGAAGAACATTATGTTGTCCATAGTAGGTTCCCAAGAGGAATCTACCAATGCCATTAAGATATTTGCTTGTGTTGTGATAGAACAAAATTCTGGTGTTTCTGACATTTCTTTGCAGGTTAAGCCATTGCTAGAGGACTTCGTTGATGTGGTTCCCGAGGAGATGTCATCTGAATTGCCACCTATGATAGACATCCTGTACTGTATTGACCTTGTATCAGGAGCTGTTATTCCTAACAAAGCTACATATAGGATGAGCACTGAGGAGCAAAATGAGTTTTTTCATTCACGGGCTCATGATCATATTCAGAAGCAGAATAAGAAATATAAGAAGCAAGCTGACAGGCATAGAAATCAAGCCATTTTCAAGGAAAGCGATATGGTGTGATCCACCTTAGGAAGGAACATTTTCTGGCTAACAGGATTGACAAACTACCTAGAGCTAACGGTCCCTTCAGAGTGCTCGGGAAGATCAACAACAATGCTTACAATATTGAACTTCTTGGGGAATACAATATTTCTAATACTTTCAATGTTGCTGACTTGTTTCCTTATCATGATGATGAAGAGGGCATAAGGTGCAAGAGTAACCATGAAGCCCCGTTAGATTCGAGGACGAATCTTCTTTTGGCAGGGGAGGATAATGCACATGGGTGACTGACTTGGATTGAGCTTTTCTATAATTTATTCCACAGTTAGGGCTTTTAATAATTGTTAATTATTTCCCTTTTTGTTATTTTTTAGATTATGTTTGAGTGTGCGTTAGATTGTGTTTTATCTCCTTTGATTGCGCATGATTATAGTCCTTTACTTTTTTGTTATATTATTTTGCCTATTTAAGGCTTGGAGAACCCTATTATTATTAGGTTGTTTTGGTTAAATAAAATTAAGAAAAAAGAAAAGTATTTTCTCGCAATCCTTATGTTCGTTCTTCTTTCTATTTAGCCAATGGATTAATGTTTCGTCATTAAACTCAATATTTGGTGAAAGTGGGAGAAAAAGAAGAAAATGGGAAGAAGAACAAAAGGGGAATTACAGGGGGAAAGAGGGGGGAAAAGAAGAAAAGGGATAGAAGGGTTACAATGGCAAAGAGAAAATATGAAGGGATTAACCTAAAACATCAACCTCTTATCAAGTCTAATTTTCCCATAGACCTGATTAAATTATACATCATTCTGATGTACTAAGGGATTATGTTGTACAAGTTTATAATATACAATGATCATACAAACAACTAAAAAAATCATAAAGTATAGTATAATCTTATACTATTAGACCTTATACATCACATAAAAGGCCCTAAAACTCTATTCATTCACTTAAATTTATTGAAAGAACTTGACTAACAATGTCTTGTAGCTAGCTTATTTATTCAATAAATAAATTTGAGATTTAGGTTATCGGTTTTTTTTTTCTTTAGAATGAATGAGTAACCCAATTAGAACAAAATTTAAAAAACAAAATAAATTAATAATAACAGTGCCGAGTAACAATTGGTTGTCTTATGCAAATAACAATTTTGTGTCGCTCCTAATAAAGATCCTATAATAATGAATCAAGCTCCATTTTGTAAATACTTGTCTCTTTCCGACCATATAAACTAGAAAGGGTCAAAGGGTACTGCTATTTTTGAAATCTGACCCAAGATTGCAAATAATCCAAATGGACCCAATTGATACCAAAAATATTAAAATTAAAATTCAACTTAAGAAGGAAACGCCTTGAAAGAGAGGGCCCATTACAAGCCTCTGCTCCACAAAGCCCAAGTACACATCAAAATCATCATTTTCTTGATTTGCTTTTATCCATTGATGCCCCTTCCATGTCTCTTCCTCACGACCCAACCAACAAAATGAAATAAAAAAAACACTCCCCGCAATATATACTTTACATATAATAATAACATACTAACAACAAACCACACACCCCTCACAAAACACACATAGAAACAACGAAATCGCAGCATGCAAATTCCTCCGTTGATAAACTCTCATCTCAGAAGAAATAAGAAGAGCTTCCCAAATTAAAATCCTCAGTTTCTTTTCCCACATTATCTGACACTGATGGCATTGCACTGAAAAGGGGACTATGCACATATTCACCCGATTCAAACCCCAAATACGGGTAACCCGACCCGCTTGTACTAACATCGGAACTTTGATGAGAATACCCAGCATTGTCTCCATAAAACCCATGACCCATCTCATAACCCATGGAGCTTGTAATATCCGGTGGCAATGGTGGAAGCTGAGTTTCACCATCATCAAACAGTTGGTGAAAATGGGAGCCATCAACAGTGTTGTTGCATCCTTCAATCTGATTAGCATAACCATGACTATAGCTATAGCCACCGGACGATGCCGCTTCCGGTGCAGCCCAAGTTACCGAACCCATCATCCCCGGGTACCCGCCAATTGAGGTTTGTGAATTCGGGTCGGGTTGTTGGGTAAACTGGTTCGGGTCAGAGAAATATGTGAATTCTTGAGGTTGGTGATGGATTTGTGCTTGTTGCTCCGGGGAAAGAATGGAAGTGACGGATGAACCAGGCGGGGTGTCTACGTAGACGAAGTTGGTTCGGGCACGCGACCCGCGCATGGAGCGGGCCGCCGTGTCATAAGCCAAGGCGGCCTCTTCTGCGGTGTCGAATGTCCCGAGCCAATGCCTCTCTTTAGTGGAGGGGTCTCGAATCTCCGCTGCATACCTTCCCCATGGCCTCCTCCTCACGCCAAGGTACCTACCTCCCCATGAAGTTTCATTTTGTTTTTGTTGTTCTTGTTCTTGTGTTGTGGCGGTTTGTTTCTTCTTGGCCTTGTTGGAGTTTGAGGATGATGGTGACGAAGTGAACGGTTTCATCATCAAGCTAGTGGTTGAGGTTGATCACAAGCACGTAAGAGACCAGATTTTAATGAGTTTTGGTACGTGAACGAAAGAGAACGATTATAAGTAAGGTTAGAAGGTGAATAGATAGAGAAGAATGGAAACAATGGAAAGAGAGGAATGGTATGAAGTTAGCATGCAGCTTTAGTTTATAGTCACTCTTTGATATTCCTCTATTCTGTTTTAGTTTCGGTGTTTGTTTTGTTGTGAGGAATGGGCATGTGAGTACATGGTTTAAATAAGAGAGACCTAACTCTCCAAAACCCTCATTGTCACCATACCATTATCGTTTTTTCCGTCTATGCCCTTCTTTCTATGAATAGAGAGCATTTTTTGTAGGATAGTTGCACCAAACACCGACGCTACACAAGTATTATAACTATGTAATTTGGAGAGTACATAATTATGATATAATATTAAAATTAGTTTTTTATCCTCTTCAGTAGATGTCAGTCGATGTGTAATCATCCCTTTGGTGGGATGCACCTTGGGAGTATTTTAGAAATTTCTCTATGAATGACTGCCAAGTGCCAACACGTGCCCTCTTGAATTTTTATTTCTTTATTTTTTTTTTGTTAAGTTATCCATATATGTAAAAGCTCTTCTATTCTAGACTTGAAGTTATATGTCACAACTGAGCAATCTAATCTATTAGATATGATAAAAATAAACAAATACTTAGTCAGTAATGAAAAGGTTACAAAGGGCAACGGAATCCATCACTTAATTATTCTCTGGGGGGGGGGTCCAGACATACTACTAAACTGTGGGTGTTAATGAGTTTCAAATGATGGGAGGAAGACGAGGTAAGATGGGAGGGAAAGATTAGGATGTATATATATTTATAGGTTTCGATTTTCTCATGTGGTAGGAGAAAATTTTTTCATGTTGTAGACATATCTTATGTGGGGTCCACATTTATTAAAAAATTAAAAAAGCAAAAGAAAATATTACACGCAAATCGAAGGGTCACTAGTAGGAGAAAACAATTCTCCTATGACATGAGAAAATATTTTCCCTATATTTAGATAGGGAAAAGTGTTTGGCCTTTTAAATGATACAATTTGTGTCATTTCACTCTCACAAAAAGGTGGGACTCACATTTTTATATTTTTTTCACTCTCTCTCTTCCTTTATCTATCTCTTTCTCTCACTTAAAACGACACAACTTTACATCCTTTAAAATAATACACACTTTTCCCATTTATATATATAAATATTATTTCTGGAGAAGTAAAGAGGATTATATAATTAATTAGTAAAGAGGATTATATAATTAATTAGTGGGTCATATAATTAGAAATCTAAATGACCCATGATGAGCATGTTCTCTTAGATGCCCCATTTCATGATTATTCCCAAATCAAATTAGTTGTGCTTTGTTTTGAATTTAGCCAAAGCTCAGTTTTAATATTGTGTCCGGTACTCAAATAACCCCCCCTCATATTAGTCCAAAGTTGTTGCATGTGATCTTTTCTTTCAAATCATGAGATTGTACAATGAACAAGGAACTAATCATATAGAGACTCTCCATAGTCCTCAGCAATCATGTGATATATGTGTATATCCGCATCAAAATTTTATTTGTAGGTCTTCCTCAATAATTTGATCAGCCCAAATAGGGGGAAGAAAAAAAAAAAAGTCATATGAATTACTTAGTTGCACATTCTAATGATCATTGCAGGTGGAAGAGCTCCAAGTCCTTTTTGTTGATCATTAGGTCCCATTCAGAGTGCATAGAATGTAAGATCTTGTCGAATAAACTACTTAGATTTATCATTAGTAATTATGTGGGTGCTATGATCAATATCTGTTCAGTCTACATTTGGCTGCATGCTCTGCTCCTCCTTCTCAGATTTATAATGATATAATATTGTGAAAACAAAATAAAAAATTCTATTTTTTGTTGTTGTAAACTTGAAATTCTGTTTTTTTTTATATACCATCAGTTTGTCGATTACTCAACTAATCTGATTCGAATACTGTCAGATTTCTTACAGAATATGGCTCTTTTAAGATCATTTTCTCCTGGATAAGAGGAACAAGCTCCTTACCACTTGAACTAATGGTTGTTGCTAAAATAAAAAATAAAAAACTCATTTTTAGTTTACCACACGGATTTGAACGTAAGTCATTTTTTGTTCAGGAAAATGAAAAAAAAAAAATTACTTTGTGAAATTAGATAATTAACGAAGTATATCCGAATGAACATTGTGATTGCGTCTACTTTTTCCTTCCCAATTTTTGCGGTAAAACGTTAACATTTTCCATTATTATGGGTATGTATATTTTCTGTTATAATTTTTTATTACATTGTATTCTAACTGACAAATTTAACCAAATCATAATGAAACTCTTTACTCAGATAATTAATGATTGTCATCAGTTACAAATTTGTAATCATCTAATTAGTACGATGAAAATATCTGTTCTTTTTTAATGCAATTCTTTACTTATATGAAATTCGTTACTTATATGACATTTTCCCCCCACCTTTTCTTGTTTAATTCTACCGTAGTCAAGTTAGAGAATTTAGAGAATAATGTTACTTTAAAAACCTTTGTTAACCGAAACAATGTCGTCTTGGATGGAAAGATTAAAAAATTATAATAATAAAGACTATTGTAATCCTGAAAAAAATTAAAATTACAAACCCTTAACTTTATTATGTGAACTAGGTTTTTTATTTTATTTTGGAGATTTATATGAAGTACATTTTTTTTATCTTTGATTAGGTATTTTCAGATATATACCTCAAGAAAAATCCTTCGCGTAAGGGGTAGTGATTAGGTAAAGTCACTATTAGAGTGATAACTCTATGATTGGAACCTCTAATATTGTAAATAAAGTTTATTTAAGATCACAATTCATTTTTACTTCCACCAATCACTATTAGTTGTGTAAACTACCTTGGTTAACAATATTTCAAACCTTAAACCTATTTTACCAAATAAATTATTGATGATGGTTAGAGTAAACATATAAGTTGAAGGTATGTTGGGGATGTGAATGTAATTTGAAGCAGATTATTTTATTATTATCTAATTTGAACTTATACGGTTTTCCAAACAAACAAAAAAATTAACTTATACGACCTTTTATTTATGTATAAAATAGTTTGTTTATGGAATATCATTGCTCACCCATGTGCAACCATTTTGTGCATAAACTCAATGATAAGTTCCACAGTCTCCGCTTCTTTATATCAAAAATCAAAGTTAACTTTTCAAGCGTTCACATTTTATTGGTAATATTTTTCTTTGATAATTTTGTAAAGTTAGGAGCTAGCATGCATATCCTTTTTTATTCATCACGTACGTTAACAAATAGAAAGAAAACCAAATTAGGCGAAGCCATGTTGGGGAGCATGTGAGAAAGACACATAGGCATACCTTTTTTGAGGAAAACAATGACTAGGCAATTCTTAATTAGCGACAACTAATTGCAAAACCTGGTAGTGATACTTTGACCAAATGTCACATCCCTAACAATATTGGTTATTGATTAATTTGAAGAAATCTTGCAAAAACAAAAAAAAAAACAAAAAAAAGTTGGGAGGGGTGGGGGAAGAGAGAGCAGAGAGATTGAATTTTACAAATTAAAATCAATAATCTTATGGGTTTTAAACTGTACTAATTACAAATTACAATATCTCAATAATAAATATCAATTTTTATTGATGAGTTAATAATTTCATAATTTAATAAAATTTTATTTTACTGTACTAATTACAAAATAATTTATTAAATGTAAATGAGACTAAAGGATTTTCCATATTTTAAGTACTTAATACTAGTTAATTTGACATTAAGTAAAATCAATTGATTGGGTGACAGTATATATATAACAAGAGAGAGGATTATTTTTACATCGGTATAAGAATAAAATGTTTTAGACCAAATCTTGGTTATTTATTTACTTGTATCTAACTATTCAAATATTTAATAAATTAAATCATTAGATATAAATAAAATCAATAATCAAGATTAAAAGTATACCATGATTTTACCCTATATATTAAATACTTTAAATCTTTTTATGTTTTAAACTATAGTTTTTTTACTTAATGTTTTTAGGTAATAAATAAATTATTAATAGATATTTAAAACAAAATATAACCAACATCAAGATAAACTAGTGGCGTAGGAAACTCTAGAAGAAAAAGGATATCAAAGGTGCTTGCATATGGCTAAGTAATTGTGATTTGTTCAAGATAGATAGGTCAAAGAATCTACAGAGACCTGAAGAGGAGACAAGATGATAATTTTATTCTACTTTTTGCGCACCCAAGTTGATGAAAAAAAGGATAAGTGATTGTACATTGGGATTTGGATGAATTTTCCGTTCCCTTCACTATTTTAGGTTTACGTACGTGACAATGCACTTTTGTTTTCTTCAATGCCTTGTAGTTTTGCGGGTCCTAAAGCATCTTAGTCACATATCCACAAAATAAGAAAGTCAGTCAACAATTCTTTAGAATATTATTCAAGATTTCTTTTTTCTCATTTCACATTAAAGAATATTTCTTATATTATAAACACAATAAATAATAGGTCTTACCACTTATTACAAAAAAAAAAAAAAAAGATAGCACGAGTTTCAATATCTCATAATATAAGAAAATAATTTCTAACAACATGAGAAAATAATTTCTCATTATTTAAAGAAACGGTATTTTAGTTTCTAAAGAAAGTTAAATACTCAGTCAAATTTTTGCCAACAATAAAATATTAAAATAAAAAATATTATATGCAATTAAATTAGAAAATAATTTAAACCAAAACTTGTACTTTTAGAAACGAGAGTTTAAATTCACTCTATCATCTTTTTGAGCAAGAGTACAATTGAAAAAATTAAGTTATTTTTAAATAAAAGTACAATAATTTAATATATATATATATATATATATATATATATATATATATATATAAAGATAAACTAACATAAAATTATTACACAATAAATTACCGCGTGAG